GAAAATGAAATAGGGTCTTTAAAGGTTACTAAAGACCAAAGACATTATATGTTGTTTGTGTTCTGCATTCTAGTGGCCCATATTTTGTTTACTTTCCTATGCATCTCCCTATTAATATAAAATGTTTTTTGTCCTTGAAGTGCTTTTGATCTTGGATTATATTTTGTTTGGTATTAGTATTATAGTATTAGTATTTGCCAGTTTCTTTTTGTTAGCATTTACCTGATAATTATTTTTGTATTCCTTTATTTTAGGCTCCTGGTGTAATTTTATTTTAGGGGCCTCTTTTGTCAACAGAATACAATTATATTTCTACCTCAAAACTGAAAGTTGTCATTAATAAATTAGTTTAACCTCAATTCACATTTCATATTAATTGTGATTACTGATATATTTGGCTCATTCCTGCCTTCTTATTTTGTGTTTTCTAACTGCTGTGGTTTCTCTCTTGTTTTACTTATTCAGTCTCAGTAACAGGAAGTAGATGGTTCAGGGCTTGCTAGCTGAGATCTGCTGAGTTAAGAGAAATAGGTTCTGCCTTTGGGCCTATTTCTGCCTAGAGCAGAATGGGAACACAATGCACATAAAATACCTTCCAACTTGTCTACATGCTTGACAGCAATATAACTTTCAATAGAAAATGCTCAGTTGTGAGTGCAATTATAACATGGAAAATTTGAAACCAGTATTCAATACTTCTTTTGCACCACCATTGTTCCTCTCAACCTCACCTGTGTCTTTTTCCATTATTGTGGTGATCAGCTCTGAGTGGACTTTAACAGACCTCATATAGGTGTAGCTTGAATTGTCTTGGCTCACATCTGTACTATGTACCTTCACTTCTTGACCTAGGGCTTCCATGTTGATGCAGGGGCATGGGATGTCATATGACTGAGAGCCTAGGTATGCTTAGGTAGGAAATTCAGAGGAGTTAATGCCCATGGGAGACAGATACTGATGGATAAATTCTTTCACCTCTTCTTTCATGTCTGATGAACTACCCTGTGTCCAGCTCATAAGAGTTCTTGGATACAGTCCCAGGAAATCAAGCAATCACTTCCAGTTATAGGCAAGTAGATAACTCATTCTTTCATTGTTTCTCCTTTCCTCACTGCCTCATTCTCCTGTCTCTTACTCTTGCCCCCTAGGATTGTACACCATAATGTAAGGCAAGCTTGTGTCACAGGTTCTTTTTTACTGGGGGGAATGCAGGCTAACCGAGTGACTGTGTGGTTTTGAAGTATAAGATGAATTTTTGAGTAACAAATCTAAATAATTTTTAAACTATTTTACATATTCAGGCATAGGCATACTTCAAGAAATAAGGGGAGGCCAATAAACTGTTGTCAGATGGACAAAGAAACTGGCCTGAATTTTAATGTTTGCTACTAATAATCCATTAAGTGCATGATCAAAAAAAGATGGCACTTGGTCCTTTTAATTAATTCATTTATTTATGGCCTTCCTTCTCACAAACTGTGATAACAACTTGGCTTTTTCATGTTACTAGCTATGACTTTGTTGCTACAAAACTATATTTAAATATTTAGCCAAATCAAATATCATCTGTAGAAAGTGTTTGGTCAGTATGAGATTGTGATAAGTTAACGGAGGTAAGTGGTAAGTGCAGCCTGGTTTTGTCCAGGGTGTGCACAGTCGTAATAGGTAATCTCAGTGGGATTTTCCCAATTCTGCTACTGTGTCCTTGGCTAAATTTCAAGCCCTCTCTATCATTTTTCTCATTTGTTAACGTCCTTGATGGTCCAGTCTATTGCTACTGCTTTTGATTTTTGTCTTGTTTTGTGCTTGTGGTGGGGAATATTGCTGCCTAATCAGTAGTCTTCTGGCCTCAGGTAAAAGATTCAAGTTTGTAGAAATAGAATAATGGCACAAGGAATTCCAGGGGACAGGTTTATAGAGCAGGACGTAAGGACCAGTCCCATTGGGTCTCATTCTTCAATTACTGAACATTTAGATGTCAGGTGCTGTACTGGGTATTGGTTCTCCCTGATTCTGAAGCTGGCCTCAGTGCCTAGCGTGTCTGTTGAAGAACATCTCAAAGCATCTGTTCTTGTCCCTCGATGTTAGCACAAACACTATTCTAATTCCTTTCATGACCACTACAAATGTTATCATATTCTTCTTTACTTTACTCTGCCTTTGTCTTTCCTGATATATCCACATATGTGATGACCAAAGCTTGGCTGAAAGATGTTCTATCTCACAAGTTGACCACAAAATGTACTCTTTTTCAGCTAAACTCAACATAGTCCTTTTTTTTTTTTTTTTTTTACTCCACAGCAATACCTAATAAATAAGACAGTTGCATCTATGAAGTGCTGGAAAAATAGGGGCAAAAAG